ACAAATAAACAAAATCTGAAAAAATGTTACTTCTATTTCAGTAGCACTAACTAGTATTTTTACTTTACTTACAGAATTATAAGTTACTGTAAAACTGAACGACGCTTTATGTATATGTAACGAATAATATGGTCCGTGTAAATTTAGGTAAGTTATATAATTTTTAATCAACAAAAGAAATCTCAAGCCACTTTTCTTAGACTACGTATCATGGTGTTCTTGATAAAAATTATTAATATAATGAAACATCGAAAATGCAAATTATATACAACTTACTCAGAACATAAAACTGAAAAACGTGTAGCTCTCGTGACATTGTTTTGAATATAGTTGTGTGTTTTCTTTTCTTTTATTAACGTGTTTTAAAAATATTGTGGTGGTGTAATATTTTTGAAAACATTTATTCAAAATTAGATCTAACTTTGTGAAAAAGAAATTGTTTGATTGTAGTTAATGGGTTATTCTGCCCACCACGGGTATCGAAACCCGGTTTCTAGCATTCTAAGTCCGCAGATATACCGCTGTGCCATTAGAGGGCGAAAAAGAAATTAAACTCGCATATTAAAAGGTTTTATGACAAATTCAAATTTATACATCTGCTAAGCGAGTGCCATTTTTGTCAAAATTATGACACATATATATCTTTCGAAATAAAATTAATTCCCCGATGTGTAATAGGTTTGTTTTTGAATTTCGCGCAAAGCTACACGAGGGCTATCTGCGCTAGCCGTCCCTAATTTAGCAGTGTAAGACTAGAGGGAAGGCAGCTAGTCATCACCACCCACCGCCAACTCTTGGGCTACTCTTTTAACAACGAATAATGGGATTGACCGTCACATTATAACGCCCCCACGGCTGAAAGGGCGAGCATGTTTGGTGTGACAGGGATTCGAATCCGCGACCCTCAGATTGCGAGTCGAGTGCCTTAACCACCTGGCCATGCCGAGCCATGTAATAGGTAAGGTTACGGACGTACAATTCCAAAATCCGGGACTCTTTTTTTTCCCACGATGTATAGGACGCAGATATCACATTTTGTAGCTTTGTGCTCAAAGAAAATAAAATTATATTTGTGATTTAAAACATATTTTTAAGAAAGTACAAATTACCATATTCTTACCGCTCTTTGGACTAAGATACTAGCTGTATTCATCAAATGTTCTCGTCGATCTTTGGACGGAAATGTTAGCTGTATTTATTACAATATCCTTACAATCTCTGTGAAGAGAACCCCGTACGCTATATAGACGTAAGCCTGCAGAAAATTTACTTGAATTTATCGATTTCTGGCAAATTAGAAATGACTGCGATAGGTGAGGGAGTTACGTTTCTTACCTACTGTTCATCCAACAGTAAATAATAGGGTTGTACATTGAGTTAGACATGGCCAACCAATAGATACCAAGGTAGATATGCTGGACATTCCTGTAGCTGATGATTTCTCTGTGGTGGTGTGCCAGAAGAGGATAGATGTGGTAAGGAAGCCAACACACGGCAAAGATAAACACCACAACGATCATCATCTTTACGATCTTTGAAAAGTGAAAAATTAACCAATCAAACATAGACACACAGACATATATATGTATAATGGAAATATGATCTAATATAGAAGCTATTTTATAACACTATTATCATACATTTTTACACATTGGACTGAGATAGCAATCGCATTCATTACAATAATTTCCACGTACTTTGAACTGAGATTCTTGCCGTATTAATTGTAATGATGTCATCGTACTTTGAATTGAGATTCTACTCCTAATTATTAAAATATTTTCACTGTAATCTGGACTGAAATACTAATCGTATTTATTACAATGCCCTCGCCGCACCTTGAAAAAAAAAAGCGCAATTTTGTCACAATAATACGAAATTTGATTTACAACCCAATTAAAATTCTCAGCATGTAGTTAATTTCATTAACGGCCTGTCTAGTTCGTTCTTTATCTAATTTACTATACCTTATTTTAATATTAGATTACATGCAGTTAACTAAACAAACAAAAACAGCTACAATGTCACAATAGATCGGTAGTTAAAATAAATCATGCATTGTAAAGTCGATCGGTTTTAATACAATACAATACTATCTTAGCCTCTCTGGTTTACGTCGTACCTTAACTTCAAACAGTATAAATAAAGAGTTTTATGAAGCCTACCTTTCTCTTTGATTTGATGGCTTCCATCTGTGTGGCTGTACACTCTCCGATACTTTGACTACCCCAGAGCTCCTGTCCAACCCGAAAATAGGTAAATGTCATTGATGTGATGGGTATGATATAGGCCAGGACCAGAATCACTACGTTATAGCTGGGAGAAAACAACAAAAAAACAGAAGGATTGTAAATCGCCAAGACGGAAGTAAGTTAATTCACTTTATTTAACATCAGTATTGCATATTTTGTATCAATAAACCAAAGAAACAGTGGATAGATAGACACTGTATTTTTGAGGCATTTAAATATATATTACGTTTATATAATTCTCATAATCGTTACTACATTTTCACATTGAAATGTATGAGTGAAATTTGAATTATTTATTCTTTCTAAAAAAAAGGAAATCTTATTTTACACAGAGAGATATTGTAGATCGTGTGTGACACACTCACAGTTAAAAATCTACTATATAGTGATTAGTGTGACATACTGTTTTGAACGTGCTCTACAGTAGTTTGTGTGTAACACACCGTTATGTCATGAATTGTGTGCTACAATGGGTTGTATGAAACATACAGTGTTATAAATTTGTTCTACATTGCATCGTTTGTGACAAATACACACTTATGGAGTTGTTCTAATGTGGCTCGTGTAACACGCACATAGTTTTGGTTGGGCCTATTCCACAGTAAATCGTAAGACAGACAGTTATGAATTTGTTCTACGGTGGCTTGTGTGTCACATACATATATATTTATGAATCTGTTGCAGGGTGAATAGTATGTGACGCACAAACTATTATGAACTTTTTCTACAGTGGATTGTATGTGAAACACACAGAGTTATGAATTTTTTTATAGTTGATCCTGTTTGAAAGATACACAGTTTTGAATCTGTTTTACAATGAAAGGTGTGACACACACATAATACGCACATTAAGATGTTTGATTCTTATATTGATGAACGCTTATTTTAGGGGAGGGCAGATAAGAGGAAGAAAGGAAAGCATTGTTTAATATATATATATATATATATATATTAGTGTAAACGTTTACCTTTCTAGTGTATGTATATATTGCAAGTTCAATTTTATTATCATTATCCCTAAAAAAGGTATTACGATGCAGAAGAAGTGACGTATGTCTACTTGTGTAAACCTTATTCTTGCAGAACATGCAAGCTCCATTATGGTAAGCATTAACAATTCCTATTGGACTGTTTCTCCCCCATTCTACTCTCATCCAGTTTTCCGAATAGCTCTTTGTAATGACTAATCTATTACTCTTAACATTTGAGACGTCGAAAACAAAGTTTATTACGTTTGTCTGTTGAAGTAAAGTATTTTCTAAATCCCTAGGAGCATTACATGCAATTTCATAGAATTTTAAATGGCCAAACTTAGCATATGATGCCCTTTAAGCCTATGGCTGTTATATATGTTTGTTTTTGGAGATAATATTGTATACTGTTGGAATTTTAAGCAGACGTGTCTGGTAAACATGTCTCTCTACATAAGCGGAAAAGCTCCAGATTGAAATGTAAGTACAATTCTATTAAATATTTAGATTTTTGTCCATATGTATTGCAAAATAAATGTTGAGAAAAATCCATCAACATCTTTCAAACTGTGTAAAATTGCTGTTACTTTTGTTTCGATTTTATTCGTTGAAAACAATTTATATATATATATATATATATATATATAAAAGAAACAGACAAATACTAAACTATTTTTATCTGTACCCTCGGAATTTAACTTAAATATCGAAACATAAGTTTACTGTTTTGTATTTAAAGACATAAGAGTTGATAATTCAGCATTATGTTTATTTTGTTTTTCTTTTCAATTTTTAGCTCTAGATTACTTAAAATTAGAGTCATGAGACAGGTTGTTTTCTTGTAATTACATTTTACTAGTGTGAAACAACGTCGGGATCAAAACGACAAAGAGATAAATGATAGTGATAAGTTTTTCATCACCAAAGAACATGAATCGGTTACTAATATCTGGTATTCTACCATCTACTAAGTCAATTAGAAAAGGCTTAAAAGAAAATAAGATAGTTAGAGCAGAGTACATATACAAGCAGCAGAAAGGCGGCATTCGGAAAGAATGAGTAGTCTTTAGATATATCTGGTAAACACAAAGTATTAACGTCTTTACTATAATCCTGAGAGTGTTTTGGGTCTTCAAAATGTCTTTTCACCTTTTCTAGCCTACGAATATTTGATTTTGAATAGAATTAACTCTAGGAAGAATAAACAACCCATACAAAACATACTAAACTACAAACAGGATTTAAAAAGTGAACTAAACTGCAGGGGGAGAATGGGAAATGTCATGGTTATGATCTAGCGAAGACGTCAGATAAAGAAAGATCAAACAGGAAATAACGAATCGGAAAATAACAGTTAGAATAAAGCTCGTTTAGGGCTAGAAAAGATAGTATTGAAAGATACAAATGAAAAACAAAAAACTCTTGCCGAATAAATGAACTGAAAGGTCTAAATTATTGGTATGAAAACAAATCAAAGTAAATCAAATAAGTGATTAATGCAATAATGAAAGTTAAAAGTTAAAGAAAAACGATCAGTGAAGTTAGTTAGCACCAGAAAAGAAAACTAGAGATGTTTAGTTATTCAGTTCTTTATTTTCTTTTCAGAGATACTGTAAGTCAAGGTTGACCTGTACTATAAGAATATCAAAGAAAAACAGTTCTAAAGGTCTGCAATTCATATCCGATCGGATAGGAGTTTTCAAATCTCCCAAACCTGATAAAGGTACTGTAACGTTATTCCTGGGTTAACTATGCTAAAGCAGGTCCCCCATTTAAAGTAAATAACAATAATATAACGATTGTCTATTCAAAGGGGTTCTTTCAGTGGTCTCTTAAGTATTGTATTTACTTTAGAGGTAAATATGTTACAGAAAAGTTTAAATGAATACACTATGAGTCAACATCTTTATCGAATATGATGCAGTTATGCAACTAATCTTCCAAACTTACATATATTCAGTGTAGCTTTGCGTGGTTGGTCCGTCTGGCCAAACCATGTAACAGATAACTCGGTAATCTCCGTTTGAATACTCTTCTTTCATGGTTGTAGAATAAAGAATATATGGCAGAGACAAGATACTGCTAGCAACCCATATCCATAGAGTGATGTTAAGAGTTGTTACTCGGGACATTCGGGGTTTCAGTGGATGCATGATGGCCATGTATCTGTGAGAGAAATTGAAATAAATAATTTTCAGAGAAACAAGTCGAAATAGATATATTTATTGTTAAGCGTTTTTGAAATTTCATTGCAAATATTTGATATCCAGGCCACATGGAAACCAATACGAGAAAGCCCCATCACAGATCTCTTTCTTTGGTCGACTTTCTCAAACCATAGTAATTTCCTGTAAATTTTTGATCTTCTTTCTATGGATCCGAATCCTCCGAATTATAAGATTATTTAAGTCATAAAAACAAGAAGAATTGTGGTTATTTTGGAATGAAATAACGAAACAAAACAGTTGAAACAAAGTGCACATGATTACGATTTATTTATACATCTTACTAAAAGGGACAGATTTTGATAAAAGAAATACAGTTCATGTGGAATCATTTATAAATCAAACGATACTCGAAGCTGAAATGTGAGTCTGGGATGTTGCAAAATGGACAATATAGGAAATTATTTGTATTTCGATAAATTCATACACATGTAACAAAAAGACATAGAAAAGAGAAACCCCAAACTAAAGTATGTCAAGTATTTTTATTTTATTTTTGAAAAAATATTGAAACAAAAGGGTTAATATTCTTCCAAATAAGTGTCGACAAGAAATTTGGGTCAATGAAGAGTAAAGAAATGGAAAAGGGTAAAAACGCGGAAGGAAAAAGAGAATAAAAACCAAAGGAAACAAAGGGGGGAACTAAACTGTATACTAACTATTGGTTTTGTCGCTGAAGCCGCATCGTTATTGAGCCTTTGCTTTTTTGTTTCTTTGATTCCGAAATTCGCGCAAAACTACGTAAGGGTTACCTGCGTTAACCGTCCCTAATTTTGAGCTACTAGACTAAAGGGTAAGCAGCTAGTTAACAGCATCCATCGCCAATTCATGGGATTTGATCGCATTAATATAACGCACCTGTGTCTTCAAAGTGCGGAGCGCATTGTTAGTGAATTATAGACCCTCGGAGCCACAACCTATCATGCTAACCACTTGGCAACGCCAGGATATGTAAAACACGGTGAAAATTTTGGAATAATCTTGGGAATCCTAACTGAGGGTATGAGTCGACTCTGTCATATATTTGGTAGAATATTTACCCCTGTTGAAATTGAAATATGATCATTTCGCGCTGCTGGAGAGAACTATAGAAATTTATTAAGTCTCATGTATTAATAGCGATATATTACTTACTGTAATGTATTTTTTCATCCCTTTATCATTTATAGGAACAATCTCAAGTATGTGTTTGTATATATAATATGCCCCCCATTGGCACAGCGGTGTGTCTGTGGACTTACAACACTAGTTCTAGTATCATGAATTATATTAATTGTAAATAGGTGATTAAATCAACACAATATGAAAATAATGAAATTAATACAAATAAAAGCCAAAAATTTCACAATGAGACATTCGAAAATCGAAAAAATTGTCTATTTCTAGTCCTTTTCATTACAATCAAGTCATAATGGAAAATGTCTGTGGTGATAGTTCCCAAAAGCGTTGGGGATATTCCGTCTATGAGACATGATCCAAACGCAAATGTCGAAATAGTTAGCAACCACGAAGAACCAATTAGGGGTTAGTGCTGAGAGTTTAAAACCACAACGTCTCAACTGCTACTGCCTTTCACTGTTGGTCCGGCATGACCAGGTGGTTAGGGCGCTCGACTTGCAATCTGAGGGTCGTGGGCTCGAATCCCCGTCACACCAAACATGCTCGCTCTTTCAGCCGTGGGGGCGTTATAAGTGACGGCCAATCCCACTATTCGTTAGTAAAAGAGTAGCCAAAGAGTTGGCGGTGGGGGGTGACGACTAGTTGTCTTCCCTCTAGTCTTACACTGCTAAATTAGGGACGGCTAGCGCAGATAGCCCTCGTTAAGGTTTGCGCGAAATTCAAAAAACAAACAACCAAACAAACTTTCACTGTCTGCGGCCAGTTGTGTGAAGGCAGTCACCCCTGATCGTTAGACATAATAAAGCCTTGTAGTAGAATAAACCACTCTATATTTATACAGTTTTAAGACTTCCAACCTCTACCCTTTTCAACAAGTACTAAAAATGTTGTTAAATGATGTTAAGTAAAGTAATCATCCCAATGTTTAGATATAAAAATAACCTTGCAGCAGAAACAAACCACTCTATTTCTACTTTTACAAGTTTGGAATTTCACACAAAGCTACACGAGGAATATCTGCGCTAGCCGTCCCTGATTTATCAGTGAAAGACTAGAGAGAAGGCAGCTAGTCATCACCACCCACCAACAACACTTTCACCAATGAATAATGTGATTGACCGTCACATTATAACGCCCCACAATTGAAAGGGTGAGCATGTTTGGTGTGACGGGGATTCGAACTCGCGACCCTCAGATTTCGAGTCAAGTGCCCTAACCACCTGGTCATGCTAGGCCACTTTTGTAAGATTCTCAGCCTATATTTTTTTAAAGTTATTACAAAATGATGTTCAATGGTGCTAAATAGATATATAAACCAACGTGTGACATTGTTTAAACTTTCTATTATTATAAATTTAAAATAAATAAATCTGTTTGTTTTGTTGATTTTCACGTAAACCTGTTCGAGGGATATCTGCGCTAATCGCCTATAATTAAAAAGTGATAAAATAGAGGGAAGATAGCTCGCTACTCAACACCACCGACTGCCATATATTGCACTACTCTTTTACTAACTAAAAGTGGGATTGACCGTCGCATTATAACGCCCTCACGGCTGAAAGGGTGAGCATATTTGGTGAAAGGAATCGAACCTATGAGCTAAGAGTAATAGTAAAAGGTTTTTATTTTATAAAATATTTTTGTTTCATTTTATTAAATACTTTGAGCAAAATAAAATTAGTTCCTGGTGTGTATTAACAAAATGTCAAAGTTGTCAAAGTTCTATGCTTTTATCTTTTGAAAAATTAAATCTCATTAGCAACGTTTTTATCTTATTAGGCCCTCAGAAGTCGTTACGGTTAATAAATTTGTAAAGAACTTCGCATTAAGAATGTCAACTTTCACGAGAAGAACTGGAGCATAAAATTTTCAAAGTGAGAATAAAGAGACTTGTATGAGCAACGTTTTCTTTTACTGTTGAAAAGAAAACTGAAAAATAAATAATATACCTTAGACATGGAAACGTTATGAATTGTTTATTGGTGCTTGTTGCGAAAAAAAAGATAGAGCAATGGTATCAGAAGTCAATAAAAACGCTTAATATATAAAATTTACCATCAAAGATTATTTATTGGAATGCGTTTCTTTCAATTCAGCAGATAGTTAATCAGAGCTCTATATTAATTGATTGTTACCTAGCAATCTCAATACCAATAACACATAAGAAGTAATGCGATATAATAGCCAAAACTATTAAGCTTAACAGGTGATATTCACATAATAGCTTTTGTCATACTATTTTATATTTGTTGTAGTGAATTATGTTAAAGATTTAAGGTAAGATACAAAAAAACGTTCTGCAATCTTATAAAACTTGGTAGGAAAAAAACAAAAAACGTTTCGTAGCCCAATGTGGTGCACTAGATTTTGTACTTGACAGTTTCGTGTCGTTATATAGTAACTGCACAACATGCGTTAGTAATATGTAAAGCATGTTGTATGCTTTTTATTTTAGCAAATATCTCTTGTTTTATGTCTTGATATCCAGAACAGGATGAACGTGTCGTTATGCAAAGTTTAGCTGCCATATTACTCGGCTGCTGTTTGTAACTTAACATAAATCTGAAGTCAGTGTAACATTATATTGCTTTCCATTCGGATCTCTCTCTCTTGTGAAGAAACGTGACTGTTCATAAAACTTGCTTTTCTGAATAGAAATTTAAATAGTAGAGGCGGAAAGCCGTGTTTAAATGTCACTTCAGTAAAATTACTACTAATGTTTTACGGCGAGATTGGGTAACGCTGTATCAATAAGAATTTGACGTCAAACCTTCCTCTTCAGTTTAGTTCTTACTGCTTCATTTAATCTTCTCATTGTATGATTATTATATTTATCTCTTTTTTTATCAAAACGAAAGGCGTAATTCTATCTTCTTTCTCAAGTCCCCCCCCCCACCATTCCCCCAAAAACTTTTCTCTACTCTCTTTGGAATAAGTTCAAGTATTATATACATTTTCGTAGGTTAGTATTGTTGGAAGTTGTATATATATTTGTATAACTTAGTACCAGTTATAGATTTATATATATATGTATTATTTTCTGTAGGTTGGCATCAGTGGGAGGGTTTTGTACGTATACATTTCTCTCTAGGTTGGTATCAGTGGGTGATTTTGATGTGTTTTTTTGTATGTTAGTATTAGTGGAAGGCTTTTGTAACTAATATATTTTTCTGTAGATTGGTATCAGTTGAACAGGAACACTAAAACGCAGTCAAGCTGCTGCAGTCTTCACATATTCCAGTAAACGGTATCTTCAGGTAGGTATCGGGTTCCAAACCCATGAATGATTAATAGCAAAGGCATTTTCGCTCCAACGTCTGTAGGTCATGTGAAGTAATTACGCTGAAGTATTTTCCCTTACAGTATCCCACATCCAACATCTACATTAATAAGTTCACACAATCCTTCAGCTTAATTGAATAATTCTTACCCCTTATCAACATTTCTCATCTTTATGAAGCAACTTCTCAGAATTCACCAACTATCAATAAATTTTACCTCCTCACTTACATTCCTTTCTTTCCCAAGTAGCCACAAAGCACTTTCTGCTGCATTATGAAGCTCGGTAATCACATTACTGGCTTCCTTCATACAATAAAACTGACAACACCACAGCTTATATCGTCCAGGAAAGCCAGTGATTTCAATTGACACAAATCCCATCTGAAGGTTGATATCGCTCCTCAACACCTTTGCAGCAATCAGTTACCACGAGCTGATACCACTACCCAAAGTTGCTCGCTTATAGATAGAATATTGAGTAAAGTGCACCTTCTTGGTTCTGAAGGGTGTCAATGACAGGATCTCGCTTTTCCTTGGATT